GACTATTTTATACTTTCCTCTTGTCACATTACTTCATTGTTATTTACATATTTTCTTGGTGTAATAAAAAAAATTATAATATTTTTTATTGTGTAAATACAAAATGTTGTTTTTAATTATTTATTATAATTTTTAAAAAATCTCTTTTACCAGATCCAAAGTCATATAGGACAAAATTCGGAAGGTCAGTGGGAGGTATTCTTTCCATCTTGCCCTTCAATGGCCAGGAAGTTGCTGATGTAAAGAACATTACCGATACTCTCAGTGAGAGCTTTTCTCATGCATCCAGAACTTCTGTTTCTTCCCCTGCCTTCTTGACCATCAAGTATTGGGCAGAGCAGTCACCTCTTTCATTTTGGGCCCATCATCTCTATGACTATAATTGCCCCCTTACACTGGTGGAACTCAAATTTGCCCTTCAATGGTCTAGCAGTACATCAGTCGGCCCTGATGATGTTCACTTGGATATGCTTCACCATCTCTCTCCATCCTCTCTTGCTATCCTTGTGGTTGTTTTTAACCAGATCTGGCAGGAGAATGTTTTTTCTGATGCTTGGCACCAGGCTATTGTCCTCCCTTTCTCTAAACCTGGGAAGGATCCCAAGATTCCTTCTAATTATCATCCAATTGCTTTGACTAGCTGTCTCTGTAAGGTCTTAGAGAGGATGGTTAATGCTCATCTTGTTTGGTTGCTCGATTCAAACAACCTCTTCTCACCCACACAGTGTGGGTTTTGTTGACAGCGCTACACCATGGACCACCTGAATCAACTTGAAACCGTGATCAGGGAAGCCTTCTTCAAGAAACATCTTGTCTTCTTGTTCTTTGACCTTGAGAAGGCTTACGACACTATATAGAGATTTGGCATTTTGCAGGACCTCCACTCATATGGGTTGTGTGGCCATTTACCCGTTTTTTATTCAGAACTTTTTAATAGACAGGCAATACCAAGTCTGTGTGAGGTCGACTCTTTCCCTTTCTTTTACACAGGAACTTGGAGTCCCTCAGGGCTATGTCTTGAGTGTCACACTTTTCAGTATCAAGATTAATGCTATCACTACACAACTTCCTCCTACTGTTGCAAACGAGCTCTATATCGACGACTTCCACATCTTGTGTCAGTTATCGAACATGAGGTTTATTGAGCAGCAGCTTTAGACTGCCCTCAATCACTTGTTGAAGTGGACAACATCAAATGCTTTTACCTTTTCATTTTCCGAAACGGTTTGCATGCATTTTTGCCACCAGTGGGGTATACATCCTGATCCTGAGCTCTGTCTCGGCAATGTTGTTCTTCCTGTCATTCCTGAGGCAAAGTTCTTGGGGCTTATCTTCGACTGTAAGCTTACTTTCATTCCTCATATAAAGCAGCTACGTGTTAAGTGTACAAGGGCACTGAAGATCCTCCATGTCCTCTCTTCCACCTCTTGGGGAGCTCATTATTGTTCTATTCTTAAGATCTATCATGCCCTCATTTGATCCAAACTGGGCTATGGGTCTCTGGTTCTACCAGGACCTCAGCCTTGAAGAAGCTGGACCCCATTCACCATCTGGGGCTTTGGCTCTACAAGGGGTCTTTCTGCACTTCTCCAGTCCAGAGTTTGTACACTGAGTCCCACGAACGTCCTCTTCACCTCTGCCATTTGCAACTTTCTCTACAGTATGCTACCGAGCTTCGATCCTTACCACATCATCCCATATGGTGTAGTGTGTCTCTTCCTCAGTGGGCCATGCTCTTTCAGAATAGATGGTCTGCAATTCCTTCTTTTGGCCTTCATATCCAGCTGCAACTGGATGAATTGGGTCTGGCATTGGATGATGTTTCTGTCCCCAATGATTAACCTATTTCACTATGGCTTATTACCTTTCCCAGATGTGAACTTTCTTGAGTCATCTGAGGAAAGCGGATACTCCCAATTGGAAGTATCGTCTTGTCTTTACTGAACATCTTTTGAACCATCCTCGTACTCCCATTTACGTGGATGATTCAAAATCAGGTGACTCTGTAGGCTCTGACATGGTTTGCTGTGGCTCTGTAGTTGCTTGCAGGATCCCCTCTGCAGTTACTGTGTTCACTGCCAAGTTGTATGCTATTTCTCTTGCCCTAGACCGTGTAGAAGCTGTGCAGTACACCAATTGTACTATTTACACTGACTATTAGCTAACTACTGTTCCTTGAATCGCTTAACTTTAGTTCTCACCCTGTTCCCATCGATATTCAGCAATGCAGCTACATCTGTCTGCTCTGATCCCGTCACAGCTGTGCCTATACCATATATGGACTACGGTCCTATATTGAAGGCTTGGTTTCGCATTAGTTGGCAGTTGTCTTGGAGTGAGCAACGTCATAACAAGCTTTTCCAGATCAAACCTTTTCTTATTCTTTGGCTGTCTTGTTTCTATAAGGATTGTAAGGAGGAAATTGTCCTGGCTAGGCTACGCATTGGTCATAGTTTTTAATTCATCATTTTCTTTTATCTGGGACTAATCTACCAATGTGTGGCCTTTGTGACACTCAAGTCACAATAGCCCACATTTCGCTGTCGTGCCATAATTACGATTCTGAGCAACAGCACCATTTTAGACACACATTTACTAAGGGTTTAGCCCTGACATTGGATGGTGTCATTGGCGATGGTAACACTGTCCAACTTGATTGTATTTTTAAATTTTTATGAGCCATTGGCCTTTTTAATTCTATTTAAGTCTTTTATCTGAATTTTGGACATTGTTTAGTTTTAACTCGATTTATTTTTACATTTTATAAAAAATTTACTTTTATGGGTTTTTTTTACCGGTTGTTTGGCACAGATAGCCTAGTTGCTTTGTGTCAAAAAATGCCAACCAACCAACCCTAAATCAGTACTTGGTGGAAGCACTTTTGGCAGCAATTACTGTTGTGAATCTTGAAATAGTATAATTTTTGCCCATTCTTCCTGAGAAAATTGCTCCAATTCTGACAAGTTCATTGGGGATCATTGATGGACTGCAGTCTTCAAATCTCGTCATAAATTTTCCATTGGATTCAAGCCAGGACTTTGACTGGGCCACTCCAGGGCATTCACTTTCTTCTTTTGAAACCACTCCAGTGTGGCTTTGGTCTAGTGCTTCGGGTCATTGTCCTGCTGAAATGGGAATCTTTGACCCAGTTTTACATTCTTGGCTGACTCATGCAGGTTTTCCTCTATGATTCACCTATACTTTGCACTATCCATCTTCCCCTTAATCCTGACAAGATTCCCAGTTCCTGCTGATGAGAAGCATCCCCATAAAATGATGCTGTCACCACCATGCTTGACAGTTATGATGGTGTTGACTAGATGATGAGCTGTGTTGGGCTTGTGCCAGACATAACAATTTAAATTTACATGAAAAGCTAAATTTTTGTCTTGTCTGACCACAAAACCTTCTGCCACATGTCTGCAGTATCATTTACATGCTTTGTCTCAAACTCCATACGAGATTTAAGATTATTTTTTTTTGATAATGGCTTCTTTCTTGCCACACACCCATACACGCCAGCTATGTGTAGGGACTGGGATATTGTCGATGTATGAAGCACATTCCACTTGTTAATGATGGACATCACTGTACTCAAAGAGATAATCAGTGACTTTGAAATGTTCTTGTAACCTGACTTATTTGGAAAGCTCCTTGGTCTTCATGGTTGGTTTGTCATAACACTGTGTGACAGATGCATTTACTCTAAATTCAAGTTAAAACACTTTGATTACACAAAAACAGAGATCATTACTTTCATTTTGTGACCTTTCAGAATATTTTTTTGCACCTGAATTGATTTAGGATTTCCATAGCAAAGGGGTTGAATACTTATTCTAATATTCTAAATATTAGCATTTTTTTAGCTTTCTTAGTTTGGAGTAGATTGTGTAGATTCTAAATATATAGTCTCATATGAAAATTCCATGATTGCAAGCTCAGGTGGCAACAAAATGTGGTAACTCTACAGGGGGGGAGGGGGGTGAATACTTTTGCAAGGCACTCTAAGTAGTAGTAAGGATAGGCCTAATTCCCAATAACTTCTGATCTAAGCAAGCTTTCCTACATAGATCAGAACCAAAGATTAACCAATTAAATAATGTAACTTATTTAATTTACTGATCTAACTATGAGTATACAATGTCATAAAACAAAAACTTGTAATGATTAGAATGTATTATCGGTTGGCTAACCTCACTGTTTAGCTGTAATCTGAATAGTATTTCATGAGGTTTTACCCATTTAAGTTAGTTATAAATCTATATAGTAAAGCTAACTATGCAAAATAATCATCATAAGAAAAATGTATGATGTATCAGTACATGTAGTAAGAACATTTGTAGAGAAATTTATAATAAAGCTTCAGATAAAGTATTTGTGTCCTGTTTTCTTGTGATCTGTTTAGACCTTCTATGTAATAGCCATGTGCGGTATCTGTATTGCAACATTTATGTGATAACATGTCATTTTTTGTTGTATTTCAAAATTTGTAATGCATACTGAAAGGATTTGCACATTTTGATAAAAAAATTAGAAAAAATTACCTTTACACTCCAAATATATTAACCCTGATGAAGCTGCAAATGCGAAACGTTGGTTAAAATAAAAATATATTCTTTTATATTAATCTGTAGTGTAAAGGTCATCTTTTCTAAACTTTTATCATAATTGCAATTGCTGTATTTCAACCTTTATGTTATAACAGTATGTGATAACTATATTTCAATCTTTATGTGATTGCTATTTTTTTATGTTTGTGATAGCTGTACCAAGACATTTATTTAAAATACATACAAAGTAGCAGTTCTCATAACTTTATGGTATGAAATTTGCGTGACATGAAATTTTATAGTTCTTTAAATCTTTATTTGATGTGCTTTATTGATATGTTTCTTGGGATGTTTGTGATAATTCTTTTTAATTTGGTAACATTAATAAAAAAGATCTTGCGAGTTGAAGGTTTTAATGATTTATTATCAATAAAAAGTATCATTCACCAGATTTGAGAAGATCCCAACTGTGGTTTTCACTTTTGATAAGCTGGAGATCCTGTTTGCATCAGACAACAGGATCACGTCCATCAATGTTTTGGGGCTTACCAAACTTCCTATTCTTACTGTATTAGATCTTCGTAATAACAACATCACAAACGTTCCTCCAGAGCTTGGAAACTTAAGACAGCTAAGGTAAGCAATAAAAAAAATACCTGAGAAAATTAAGATGAAAGTAGCTCCTCTGAGAGAGAGAAACAAAAAACACTTCAGTATTTATGAAAATAGTTTAATCACCAAAGAAATGAATGTTAGGAAAGTAAGTCTACGTAAGATATGATAGTGATTCTCATCTGGAGCAGTGTCCATTCTGACTTTTAAAACTTTCAAGTAACCCCTGAAGAAGGAAGGTTTATCTTGTACATGACTTGTTAAGGAACATAAATTTATGAATAAAGTATTTTTTCTGAGCATACTGTTATCTGAAACAGGTAGTGACATTTCTACTCATACACTGGTTGGTAACTATATGATTTCTAAGCATTACTGAACTTATAGTTTCTTTATAATACTGATGAAGGTGATATGCTATATAGCATTTTTTTTTGCTTTTTCAAAAATTATTGAAACATACTGATGAGGCAAATGTGAAATGTAAAATTTTCAGAAAGTACTTTGTCATTCAACACCAAATATTAAAAAGAAAGAGACTGAAAAGGTCTGTCCTTAATGGGCAGTGCCGATTGTTTCAAGGTGCCAGTTAATCAAGCTTCTACTGTACTCATATTTCAAACTGTGATATCCCACATGCATTATTATAATTAAAAGCCATTTGCTATCTGTTTGCCCAGCACACCAAATAATTTAAGTCTTTTTGTAAAGTAGCAGCAGCATCCTCTTCATATCTAGCAACACCCAAAACTTTGATGTCATCAACATATTTAAGTAATTTATTGATCAGTCCTTCTTTTATGTTATTGACGTAAATAAAAAAAGAGCAAAGGTCTTAAGACTGAGCCCTGAGGTTTACCATTTGTGACATTAATCCAGTTTAGCTCTAATCCATCTAAAATAATCCTCTGCTTTCTTCCAACCAGCCAGTTTTTTTAATCCAATAAGCCAACCTATCCAAGCATTTTATGTGGTGCTTTCTGAAATGCTTTTTAAAAATCCAGATATAGCACATCCACACCTGTACCCTCATCTACATAAGCAGTAACCTATTCAAAGAATGTCAAAATATTAGTAAGGCAAAATTTTACCCTAGTAAAACCAAGCTGACTGTTCAATAAAATTGAAATTTTTTTAAAATGACTATGCAAAGCATCTATGCACGTGTATAACCAATTAGCAGTACAGAGACTTAGAAACAATCAGCTAAGCTATCCTGAAACTAAATATGTTTACAAACCAAATGGAAATCTGTATCCAGCTTAAATATGCTTACACATTCAACTTATAATTATGTGAAACGTAACTGTTTACTCTGTATAATTTAAACAAGTACAATAACCCAAAGTTTAAAAATAACATATTTAGATTTCATATTAATGTACATTATTTTTGGTGGAGATAATATATTTTTAAATAACTTCTTAACACATATTCATTGGTTTGAGTGAAGTACAAAATATATTGCCTACAGATTTCAATACTTTTTTTTACTATTTGTAACCAAAATAAACCTTGCAATAACAGGCACTTCAATATTTCAGATTAAGGGCAGTGTCTTTAGTCTCGTTCTCTATACAGGCATTCAATAAAGGGGGCAGTTATTTTTGTATGCCTGAACGGTATACCACTAAATTCCAAACATTCCGGAAGGATGACCATTATTCAAACACTTGTGATGTTTATTGGATTGGCTCTGAACCATATACTGTAATAAACGTTTTTACGAATGCAATCTTATTACTCTGGGGAATTCTTATTGTAAACACTGTAGGATACATAAGCTGACATTCCACATTATGTTCTCGGAGAAGAGGTCAAGTTGGCTCATTTCTGTGCATGTGCTTTGTTGGTCTCGAGAGTATTGTATTACAGTGGCACTTAAATGACCCAAGTGGTAATTTGTTGCTTTATTTTCAGTGGATTTTTTACTTGAGTCTTTGACAGTAAAATAAACACAGAAAATGAATGTGAAATATTTAGCAGTACAAACTCTAAAGAGATGTGCTTTGAAACTTTGTGACCAATAATAAAAAAAGGGCACAACTAATGCACCTGCTGAGACTTCCTGTCAACCATACTTCATGTCGTGGCAATGTGCAACTCACAAACACTTGTCCTGCATACACCAAACAAAATAGGTGGCTTTAAAATTCAGAAGTTTAGTACAGTCAGTATGGAATCCAGTTTTGTGTGGCTCATTGCTATAGAGAGCATTTGGATAAAGACAGAAGGATGCCCTTAATATCAAGGTTCTACTGTATGATTTTCATGGGAGTAACCATAAGTGTGTGATGAAAGAAAGTGATCGTGTTGTAATGGTTTATTAGTCTCTTAAGCTATCCAAGCAGTGTGCTGTTTCTAGTGGCAGGGCAAATATTATTATAGTATGTATCTACAGAGGTATTGAAAACAAGAGTTTATAATGTCATTGTATAGGTCATGGGTTAGGCCAAATTTGGAGTATTGTGTTTAGTCTTGGGCTCTTTACCTCAGAAAAGACATTGAATTGTTAGAAAGGGTTCAGAGGACGGCTAGTAGAATGGTACCTGGGATGTAGGGGCTGTCATATAAGGAGAGGTTAAGATCTTTAAATATCTAAGTATTAGAAGAGATGTGATTGAGGTGTTTAAGATAGTAATTCAAATTTAGGGACAGTGGCAAATACCCTTATTAGCTTTGCCATAACAAAGAAACAATTATAATGCCCCTACAGGTAACAGGCTAAGCATTGATAGTAATAGGAATCAAACTTAAGGCTTAAATAATAAGGCAACTTCCTTCCCCATGTTACTAGGCCATACTGGTCCAAAGCTTAAGAAATGTGAGGTTGAAAAATGACACATTGAGAGCTATAGGCCATGAATTTTCACAGAAGAGCTGCAGCCCAAAAGCAGTTGATAACAAAAACAAATGCACACTGTCGATTGGCATGAGGCAAGGCACACCGAACCTGGGCCATGGATCAAAGGAAATTGGCCCTGTGGAGCGACGAGTCATGTTAAAAAGCTCTTCCAGTCTGATGGATGTGTTTGGGTATGTAGGATGCCTGGAGAACTCTTATTACCTGAGTGTGTTATCCCAACAGTGAAGTTTGGAGATGGTGGTATCATGGTCTGGGGGAGCTTCTCATGTATGGACTAGGTCCACTGGTCGCAGCACGTGGATCCATGAATGCTGAGTCCTACATTGATGTTCTGAATAATTCTGTGTGTCCTACATTGTGGCAATTTTATGGTACTGGCTCTTACACCTTCCAACATAATAATGCTCCATGTCACAAAGCAAGAATTGTGAAGGCGTGGTTTGGAGAGAATAACATTGGAACATTGCAGTGGCCAGTAGAGAGAGTCCCGACCCCCAACTCGATAGAACATCTTTGGGATGAACTGGAATGCAGAATTAGGGCAATGCCAAGATGGCCCTCTTCAGTAATGGAGCTTGCTAATGCTTTAAAGGTGGAGTGGAGCACAATACCACCAGCTTTCTACCAGAAATTAGTAGACAGTGTTCCACAATGCTTTGAAGCAGTCAATAAGGCCAAAGTCGGGCCAACGAATAAAGACATGTTTTATTCATAACTACCTATGTCCCATGACTTTTGGTAGGATAGTGTATAGTACGTTTGTAGTTTCATGTGATTAGCAATAAAGATCTTAGCAATATTTGAATTACTGGGATAATTGGAATAATCAGAAATAATAATAATTGGAACTAATTTTGATTCGTTGATTATTTTCTTGAGTTGTGACACTAATCAATTACACTAAAGAAACTTGAATTAATTGAAAATATTGGTGAAAAATCATAATTGTAATATTATGATTACTAGATAGCTGGAATAATTTGAAACTTTAATTTCTGTTAGTTGATCATTTTTGTAATGATAGATTTAATCATAATTGAACTAATAGTTTCTCATAGGTAATTTATTACATTGATTAATCTATTTGATTGCCTAGGTCTAAACTGGTCATTTATTTTTATATTAAACCTGATGAAGAGCAATTGCTCAAAATGTTATTGATGAATGAAACAAGTTTTTCTTTCTTGGACATGTGTTTAAAAATACCTCTTATTATTCATCAAGATGTGGAAGCCTGTCCTGCTAAATATTTTACAAGTACAGGTTTGGTCACAATGAACAGCGGACTGTGTAAACCTTTTTTAACATAGGATAGACTTTGTTTATGGACGTTACTGCCAAGAGTGGAAATAGTTTGATTTATTTGTGACTGTCACTGTGTAGAAGTACATCAGCACTGTAGTATTTAATAGAAAGAAGAATTTTAATTGCATGAAGAACTTAAGACTTCAATTAGTAAAGTGAGTGATTTAATGTAATAATTTTTGGTATTAGACTTTCTGCACAGATATATATAGTTTTTATTACATAAACTGGAATGAATATATTTAGCAGTTCAAGCTTATTAAAGGGCAATGTATATATATATTGTGCAAATTAACTAAATGATGAAATATGATTTTGTACCTTTTAGGTCTTTAGTTTTAGAAGGAAACCCATTTCGTAACCCTCGTCCCGCCATTCTTGCAAAAGGAACTCCTGCTCTTCTCAACTACTTGAGAGACAGAATTCCATGCTGAGAAGATATGTTCCTATTTTTTTCTTGTTAAAATATCAGCTTCTGGTTTAAATTATATAAGACTTGTACTTGGTGTATTTATAATTTTCTAAGTCATTAGCATGTTATTTAGCCCTCTGCTTGATTTGTATCATTAAGAACATTGTAACTTTCTGTTTAGAAAATAAATATGTTTGGTATTCACTGCATAAACTTGTTTTTCAGTGCAATCTTCTGACTCTTTAACCACAGTTTTTCATAAGGTAATGAAATTATTGATTAACATTCATATCATGAAGAACTTTGGTTAAGGAGGCAGAAAGTAGCATTTAAAAACAAGTGTATATAGTGAATGTCCAATATCTTTGTTTTTTCTAATAAGGTTATCTACATAGTGAGCCTAAAACAACAGTTGTAACTTTCAGATTACTTACTGCTCACTAGTTGAGTTTAGTACTGAGACTGTGAAAAGGCTTTGGTAATGAAGTTTGGAGGTTCTCAACAGTCTGAACAAGAAAAGAAAATGTGTGTGATTACTTAATTTTTTTTGAAGTAACAGTTTTTGATCCCTATTTTACTGTTTACTTGCTAGATTTTGTACTGTTCTTACTATACATAAGTTTATATATATTAACCATAAGGTGTTTAAATTGTACTTAATTTTATGATTATGTTTTTGTATTATTATGCTCACTAGAATAAAAAAAAATTAAAATAAAGTGTAAAATCAAAGGTCATATTCTTCATGGTACATGGAAAAGATTTTTAGTATTTAAATTGGTGAGGTTTCCTAAAGCATTTACCTTGTTTCTAATGTTCACAGTGTTAGCTATCCAGCTTAGTCCAAAAAATTACACATTAAGATAGAAAGTATGACATTAGTCTACCAGGATGATCATTAGAATAGTATTTAAGCAAAACTGTTATCACCTTTTTTAATTCTAATGACTTTTTATTGTTTTACCTATCATTTTCAGATTTTTTAAAAGTGATCTATAAATAGCATTAGTAACAAATACTAATTTTTAGTTTTATATCCACTTATTTAGCAGATTTGGAATTTATTAATACATGAAGAAAAGATGTTGGAAAATTTCTTGCAAATATTAATAATTTTGAAAACTTTAAGAGTGATATTGGTTATGGGAATAAAATTATCACACATACAGTTGTTTAGGGTAATAAATGTACCTTTTTCACTACATTTTAACCCAGATCACATTTAGATGACAAAAAAGTGTTGTTGGGTAATTTCTTTATTGGATTTTATTGTATTAAGAGTGCAACTTACTAATGAAATAACTTTCTGATGAAATTTAGGTGAATGGACAGCACATGCTCCTGTTTTTGTTTTTTGATGATGATGAGACTAACTGCATAAAGCATTTTTGTGAAATGGTTTGATATATTTTTGTAATGTATATAAAGGTTGTTCAATGTCATAAGGAGTGCTAAGTTAATACATGGTTTGCACAAGTTAGAGCTTACTACTTATGTAATATAAGTTGATCAAAAACGTTAAAAAAAAGAGAGAAAAGTGTGTTTTAAAAGTCATTTGAAATTGATATTTATAGATCACAGTTTTAATACACCTTATTAAAAGAAAATTGCTACTGATTTTGATTTTAGAAAAGTTTGGAGCAAAGTGTGTTTCGTTTATGTTTTTAGGCCTCATGTTTTTCTTACTAGAGATTTGTTTTAGCTTTTCTGCTACTTTACATAATTATTTTCTAAATATTAACTAAATTTGGCTTTTAAAAGTGGATTATATTCAGCTCAGAAAAATGCACATTAATATTTACTTTGTTGTATGTCTTAGAAATGAAGGTTTCCTAAACATGGGTTAGTAATGGCTTGTAGAAGTAAAATATATATATCAGAAAAATTTTAAATAATTTTTGAAACTACATAAAAAAACATGTAATTTGTTAATTTTTTCTAATAATTTAAAATGATGGGAATTAAATGCTAGTTTTACATGAAACATATTAGTCATTATTTACAATCTGAAATAATGTTTTGGTTGGTAAACCTAAATCGGTGAAACATTTAGATAAAATGAAACTTTGAAATTAGTATTACACAACAGCTTAAAGAGTTATGTTTATTTCTGGGATTTTACTTTTTTCTAAATGTTTAATGAAAAACAAAACTATTTACAGAAAATAAAGCTGAAACATTTGGAAAAAATGTGTAAGATAAATTTTCAAAATAGTAGTATGTTTTTTTCTTTGACTAACCTAATAAAGTAATTCATAATTTCTCTAATTTTGAATAATAATATATTGAAAAAGAAGGTTTTATAATGTAGAATAAGATCTTAGTAACACCTAAAATTAAGTTTTTCTAGCTTTGAGGTTCTGTGTACCTAAAACTACCTATGTCTGTTATTGTAATAGATGGTAGGATTTTTATAATATTGCAACTGAAGTTCCAGATTTAGCCTTATCTAGTCCATACAAATTCAAATTTAATCAAAATAATTTACCACAAAAATAATTAAAAGTTTTAAAACACTCAAATTCAGTTCTTTGAAGTATTGGTTTTATCTTGAACTAAGAGAGACTCTCTCCACACTCACACTGGACGAGGACAGTAAGAATTCTATTATGTAACACACATCTGACAATGAGTCCAGGTGTGATATACTATAATCTGAAGTTATAGACATCACCAACTATTCCAAATAACTTATATAAGGAAGAAAAACCCCTAAATCATACCAATTTGTACAGGTATCTATGTCCAGTGCTATACCATGGGTAATGCGAGCAGTGCTTTGCACCAGGCACCAACTCGAATGAGTTTCCCAATTAACTAATAAAGTGAACTGATGACTGCTTGCCTGCATCAAATCAGCCTTTGCAGATGGGACAAACATTAATTTGTAGTGATTATAATAGTTTATATAATGTATTATTTATATTTGGAATCATAAGTTTTTGTGGGATTGGGTGGAAGGGCACCAAATTCATATGTTGCACAGAGCACCATTAAATATCGGTATGGCCCTGTCTGTGTCATCCCCATATCAAGGAGGGGTCACATATACTTAGGTGAGACACATTTCTAGCCATTTCCATATGATTTAACTTTTATGTAAGTAAATAGGTTTGTATGTATGTGTGATCTTTGGACATACGGTTAATGAAAAGCCCTGTAGAGGATCAGCAGTAAACTTGATCTTGTATGGTGAAAAGCTGTGGTTTGATACCTATGACACATGTAGAGCATATAGCCCCTTGCACTGCTTTGTGTTCAAACAAAATTACATCTTTAAAATTATTTTAGTTAATTTTCTGATTTAGGAAGAATTGTATAACATAAATCAAACAAATTGGTATTGATCCATCATACAAATGTTTCCTTAATGTTTCTCCAAGATTATTCATTTGTATATTGTACAACCATTTTCAAGGTCATAATTACAGTTGTTATTTGGTCAGGTCTAAGTACTGGAGCAACTTAATTGTTCATATTTTCTGGTAGGCTCTCATTTATAAAAGTTAATGATATTGGAAGATCAACTTTTATGATTTCATCTGACATTTGTTGAGCAATCATTTTCCTAATGCTGGTTTAGCCAGTATAATGGGTACACAACATTTTTAAAAAGCTGAGTGTAAATGGACACCATCCTGTGTGGGTTTGATGTATAGATACCCAGTAGTTTTAAATAACAACTAATTTGATTTTTGTGAGATGTGCATAAGAACAAAAATCATATTAACAACTTCTTTGATGGGAGTCCATCCACAATTAAAATATCATGATAATTTTTGTTGATTAAAAAAATAAAAAGAGTTAGAAAATACAAATTTGTTTAAACAAAAGTTTTAATGTGAATCCTTAAATGATTAATAACAGCAGCTCTCTCATTTGTAGAAGGATATTTTTTAATCAAACACTCTGCCATGATTTAGTTGAGGGGGTGGCAAGCTGCTTGAATACCAAAATTTAATATTTTTTGTATTTATATATTTGCATAAAGCCAGAGAAATTTACACACTTTACCAATGTATTTTAACAAAACCAAAAATAAGTACATAAACAAGCTGAAAAAATTCAAAAGAATAAATATTTTAAGCACTTAGTATATTGCTAAAAGTCAAACGTCAAGGATGAAGTTGAATAAAGTTTTTTGCTACATGTTTCATGATTCAAAAATTGCATGCATGGGGATAACACCAAGATTTCCCATTCTGGGCACACTCATGGTTTTTCATAATCATGAATAGATTCTTCGAAGACAAGAAAAGCTTTGCTCAGCTTTAACACTGCTAATGGGAACACAAGAAGAATCTCCCGTACATTAGGGAAAAAGCAAGCATCTGTAATTATGTGCAAGACTGAAGTTATACTTTTCTTGTGCTATTGTTACAAGTATATTTCCATCTAGGTTTGGCAATATATGCTCTCATTTATCAAATAGGATAGTGCAAATAGCTTCAACATGCATGTCTTTAGCTAACTCAGGTATTAGGCTCCACAAATCAAATTGAGCTTGTTTGTTTTCACCAAGTCTACTTTCTAATTGAGAAATGATATAATCCAAGAAGGGAATTACAATGGACTTTTTCAATTATCTTTTATGGATTCAGCTGGTGTGCTGTCACCCACATCACCTTTGTATACACATTCTGCAATATCATATGTTGTGTGCCTTTTAGTCCATCTTGTTTTACATAAACTTTGAAGTTGAAAAACTTTATCCTTAGATCTTTTATTATTGCTTCTAGGAGGATAAACTTCATGGCACGTATTAATAATGTTGCAAATTGAAGGCAGTACACAAGTATGACAGATTACCAGATTTAGGGATTGTAGAAGGCAACCATGATAGTCAGCATCTGGGGCAATACTTTTTATATATCCTAGAACTTCATTTGTGCTACTAATTGATGCTGTTGTATCATAAGTCTGTCCCTTGCAATCAACAATATTAATGGAATGCTTTATTAATGCTTCCTCTATTTTTTCAGCAATGGCTACACCTGTTATTCATTCTATAGGTGCAAAGTCAATCAGCATATCATGAATTATAGGTTTTTCACCTGATTTCTTCAACTCAAGAAAGCATAAGAAGATGGAGAGAATTTCATTTTATGTGAGGTTACTTCATTTTCCATTATAGAAAAATGTTGACAATTCTTCAAATTGTCTAAACAAATTTTCTTATCAAGTCTGCTGTCACTTGCAATATTTCATTCTGGATATCAGTGTGGAAATATTTTGCATTCTTGGGTCATGAACTAAGGTATTTTTTAAAGAATTATCTTTTTCAGTCAATAATCATAAGACAGTGATAAAATTTTCCTAATTTGAACTTGGAGGCTTAACAAAATCAATTATACTATTGCCTTGGGTACCCTGCAAAGCAATATCCTGTTAGGCACAGAGAAAAACAGCAACTATAATACTTTGAAGACTTCTGCAATTCTTTTTCATATTTGGTTTATTTATATTCACATCAATTCTCATTGAAGGATTTTCCAACTGCTTTTGGAAGTTTACAGATCTTTGAATAGCCTCCTGCTGGCAAAGTTTTGCTTCATGCTTGTGCAGGACCTCACCAGACTTATTGTAGTTCACAGATGGAGCAGTAACAAAAACCGATGCACCATTTTTGTCCTTAGTTGAGAAAAATACACATGGTATACACCATCTACCTGGGAGAATTTCACTATAGACCAGCTATTTTAATTCTAGGAGCCAAGAATGTAGAAATGAGAAAGTTTTAATTTTCTCCAACCTTTTTCTGCTAGGCTTCCAAAAGTTTGAGAGAGAGTTTCTTCTTTCAGGTTCAGTTAGGTCACTGTTTACTGCATGTGCAATGTCTAATTAATTGTGCAGGTGATGATTCAGACAGCTTCATTTTCAATTATCACTGTTTCATTCTCAATGGAAATTTCTATCACATTTTCTGAATCACTTTTAGCAACAGAAGAAACCCAATTGGCTGATGTTAAAGTAGACATTTCGTCAGTCTGAATTATATTAATTGTTTTGAAGTACTCACCAATTTCCTTCTGTTCATGAGGCCTTTTGGAAGCAATACCTGAAAGAGAAACAATGATATTGTTACGTTTCCGTTTGTTAATTGATTTT